TCGATTGATAACATCCCTTCCATTGATTTCAACATTTTTTCTTCTCAAATTTCTTCTCGCATTCAATATTTTCCCTAATTTCTTCTGCTTTCAGCAATCGCCAAACATGAGAGATCCCAAGTTACCTAAGCGTTTTTTTATCTGGTCTTGAGAATGACAATAATAGCAAGGTGAATGTCTACTATTTCATCAAATACTACGAAGCTATAATCAAATTTCTCGACAAAAATCTAGAATAAAAGAAGATACACTTCAATTCTCAATTTCGCAAATTCGCAATTTGTTTTTTCTTCTCTCACAATTATGTTGTTCTTAACTCGTTGCCATAGATCGTAATCACCAATCATGAATTAAGATGGTATTCGATGGAGATCGACATAGTTGACTATAATCGAAAATCATAATAGGTATGTATGGTTCGAAAATAGTTAACTAGTTAGCTGTCTATGGTTCGAAAATAGTTAACTATTTACTGGCTATAGTTCGAAAATAGTTTATAATTTGCTGGCTATGCTTAAAAAATAGTGAACTATGGAGCAACATCACTATAATCACTATGGTTCTAAAATAGTTAACTACTTGGGGCCTAGGGTTCGAAATTAGTTAATTATTTACTGGTTATGATTCGAAAATAGTTAACTATTTACTCTCATGGTTCAAAAATAATGAACTATGGAGCGGTTCTAAAATAGTTAACTACTTCCTTCCTATGATTCGAAAATAGTTAACTATTTACTGGTCATAGTCCAAAAATAGTGAACTATGGAACGACATCACTATTGTTCTAAAATAGTTAACTATCAAGCTATATCAATCAGGATAAATTTCGATTCTCTCCCTTGTAACTCGTCAAAACCAAATCACCGTAAAAAAAAAACACCGCTTTTCAGTCGAAGAAATATTCTAGGGATTTTTTCCCCACACACTTTCCTTTTACGATTATTATGTTAATTTATTTTTTACAATTAATTATCAAATTTAATAGGTGCATTTTAGTCCGAAAGTCTTACTTCTTTGTTAGTCACCTAATTTTTTTTATACCTAAGTTATTCTCCTAATTACGTCCCTCAAAAATATT